TCCTGCTGGGCTGGAAAACCTGAGTAGCTCTTTCCTGTTTATTTCATTCCTGAGTCTGTTTACAAATTGCCTAATCTTGAACTGGTCTTGAACTGGTCCAGCTTCCTTTTTACTGAAGGTTATTTTCAGAAATCAGTGAAAGCTAGTTAGATAACTTAATTGTGTATATGCAGTGGTTCAGGGTTAAGCTTTGGGAAGAAAACTCATTGTTTGTTCACTTTATCAAAAAGGGTTGCTATTTCTATTCTGAAAACATTGTGAAATAACTTCCCTTTTTCATTGTTCGCTAGGGATATAATTAGTGGGTTTAAGCTGTTGTCCCAAAGACATGCTGTTATATCCCTAGTTATGATCAATTAGAATTTATTATTTCATGATGAGCAGCTTTAGATCAAACTTGCTACTCTATTTATATAGAAAGAAGGAGGGCTACTCTCTAAGTAGATTTTTTCAAGTATGTGGGCAACATATCCTTCATTTGACATCTGCTTTTCAATACATCTTTTTTTTTTCTGGCATGCCTCCTACCCAGTGTTCCTATCTATGCTTTCTATCCAATCCCTTGCGCTGTGACTAGGTGATTTGAAAATTATAAATCAACAGACAGAAATCTTGTTCTAGAAACTCTAGTTTAAACCTCTGTTTTAGGTGTGTAGAAGACTCTCTAAATGACAGCAAAAACAGAGCAGCCCAACATGAAAACAGTTCGGTCCAGCAGGTAAGATACCTACAAAGCTGAGGTAAATATCAACCCATATTGACCTAGGTGAATCAAAGTGAAATCAGTGATCCCTTTATATGGATTCAGACAGCTGAAATGGCGTATATAATCAGAGAGGCTCCAGCAGAGAGAGAATGAGATGTATACAGAAACTCTGCTCCACCAGGATACTGAACCTGGGAACACGATACAGGAACATGTCCTAAACTGACTTGTGATTTGAGTACATACATAACAATGCCAAAAATGAGAACCCTGTATTTTGCTGTTTTCAGTAATTCTCCAATGTTGTAGGAGGGAATGGCAGAAGTCAGTCGCTGGAGTAAGTATCTGGACAAGGACAGTGAAGATAAGGAAGATGGGGAGGAGGAGGCAGGTACAGAAAGGCAACAGTTCTGTTCCCGGAGGAAGAACACTGTGGAAGAACAAAGGTACAGAAAGAACTTTTCTTTTTTGTACAGTGGTGACATTTGATTTGGAGGTGTGGGACGTAGCTCATCTCTGATAGCTGAACAAAGTACAGGTTGGAATGTATGACCTGAGCTGAGCAGGGATTTGGTATTTGGGGGTAAAACTTCTCTTATTGCTAAAGCCATGCATTTTATGAACATTTCTGGTGACTTGTGAAAAAAATTCACAGTGGAGCTAATCTGTCCTCTTTGTGAATGGTTTTCTTGGCCAGGAAACACCAGAAGAGCTTCCTCTCCAGTGATGTTCAGGAGTATGCAGAAGAAAACAGAGTTTTCCAGCTTGCCTATCAAGCCAAAAAGGTTAAAACGACTGAGGTATTTTAGTGGTAGAAGATGCTTCCTATCAGTAAAACAAAAGAGGGTTCTCCTGACCTCTTTTGTGTCATCATGATTTTGAATTTTTATGAGTCTTCCTCTGCTCTTCTCTTTGAATGACTGGGGAGGAGAAGAAAATTGTGTCAGTAGTTTCTCTATGAAAGGTTTTAGTCAGGCTAAATCAATACCACGTTGTGCAGGCTGCGGGGTTGAGCCGGATTCCTCCATCAGCACAGCTGTAACCTATGCTGCTTTGCCTTACTGAGGCAGTGGCACCTGTGTAGCGTGTAATCATTAAGGTTACTGTGATTACGTGCAGTGTCAGTGAAGTTGGCCTGACTCACCGCAGCCCAGAGTTCATCAGCCTCAGCTCTGCCTCAGAGGGCTGGTGAGAATTCAGGTGCATTTGAAGGACCTGAGTGCTCTTTCTTTGCCTGCTTCTGTGCAGCTTGCCTGTGCTGCTGGTTTTATAACCAAGTTCTCTTTCTTCTTACAGCACAAGAAATGTTTAGTAGCAGCGCCTGATCAAGATAATGGAGATGCTGTTTCTGGAGACAGTACGGTTCCTGCTGTCTGTGAGTCCGTAGTGCCTGAGGAGAATACACAAACCCCACCTGCTTGTACCAAAACCTCAAAATGGGAAAAATTTCTCTCCTGTTCTGAGAACTATAGTGAAAATGCTGGCAGGGTCACCTTGTCACCACAGGATGGCAGTGGAAGGTTGGGGCTACACAGCACCACTGCAGCAGATGCTGGTATGGCCAGTAAATGCTTAGAACAGGCGGCAAGAACTCTACCTCAAGGTACAGGTTTTGAATTTAAAAAGTGTGTCGCTAGCACTGAGCGACTTGCCTCGAAACTGCCTGGTACCATGGTGCCCAGCACGACTTGCTCAGCTGAGGAGGATGTGGTGTTCAAAGGACCTCAAAGCCAATCAGTAAGGGTGGGATCTGATGTTGTAGAGACCACTGCAGGAAGGTGGTGTTTGGATAGCATGAGGAGGGCAAACACCCTTGTTAACTCTAACACTGGGCCAAAGCCTAGCAACGTTTCTTGTGAACATCTCTTCTGCACAGGTGATGAGTTTGATGATGATCTTTGAGAACTTCAGGCATCTTTGACATTGCTTTCTTGTTTGTCTCTCTGAGACATTCGGTATGTTGAGTACTAAGGCAAGATTTTGAAGGCAACTTTAAGCCTTACGGAACTGCACTATTAAAGCTGTTTACTTGTTTTATGGCTGTGTTTGGGGGGAAGAGTGGAA